ATGGAAACCAGGCTTCTCTCATTTTAAGAATAAGCCCACCATCGCACGGGAGGCAAGGGTGGGTAAAAAGTCACATTTTCCTGCCATTTTGAGGATGGGTTTTCTTTACTGGGCTGTGTGTTGGCTGCTGTAAACCTTTGACTGTTTTCCAGAATTCCAACAAAGTTGGTTCATATAGTTGCTGCTTTCCACCTTTTCTCCCCAGTGTTTCTGTGGAGGAATCAAAGCTGGAATGTCATAGATCACAGTTTTGCTTGTGTCAGTCAGATCAATTACGTTTATTTATTCCTATCTGTAATTCTAGTATCCTGACTAGGCTTTGAATATAGTATGTTTCAGATACATGTATGGTGACTGAATTTTAATTAGAAATTTTGTGTAAATGTTAAGAAAAGGGTCTCAGTTATCTTCATCTACACTTAAAATTAATGAATAGATATTTTTTCTAATTCCTTGTAATAATCAGTCTTTCCTTTTTTGCTATGGTGTTACTGTTGTTCAGTCACTCAGTTGTATCTGACACTTTGCAACCCCATGGACTGCCCCACGCCAGGCTTCCCTGTCCATCACCAGCTCCCGAAACTTGCTCAAACTCATGTCCATCGAGTCGGTGATGCCAACCAACCGTCTCATCCTTTGTGACCTCCTTCTCCTCCTGCCCTCAGTATTCGCCAGCATCAGGGTCTTTTCCAATGAGTTGGGTCTTTTCCAGTGAGTCAGCTCTTTGCATCAGGTAGCCGAAGTATTGGAGCTTCAGCTTCAGCATCAGTCCTCCAAATGGCTATTCAGGGTGGATTTCCTTTAGGATTGACTGGTTTGATCTCCTTCCTGTCCAAGGAACTCTCAAGTGTATTCTCCAGCACCACAGTTTAAAAGTATCAATCCTTTGGTGCTCAGCCTTCTTTATGGTCCAACTTGCACATCTCTACATGATTACTGGAAAGACCATAGCTTTGACTAGACGGACCTTTGTCAGCAAAGTGATGTCTCTGCTTTTTAATACACTATCTAGGTTCATCATAGCTTTTCTTCCCAGGAGCAAGAGTCTTTTAATTTCATGGCTGCAGTCACCATCCACAGTGATATTGGATCCCAAGAAAATAATGTCTGTCACTGTTTCCATTTTTCTCCCATCTATTTGCCATTAAGTGATGGGACCAGATGCCATGATCTTAGTTTTTTGTATGTTGAGTTTTAAGCCAGATTTTTCACTCTCCTCTTTCATCAAGAGGCTTTTTAGTTCTTTGCACTGTTGTTAGGGTGGTGTCATCTGCATATCTGAGGTTATTGATATTTCTCCCAGCAATCTTGATTTCAGCTTGAGCTATTTCACATGATGTACTCTGCATATAAGTTAAATAAGCAGAGTGACAATATACAGCCTTGACGTATTCCTTTCCCAATTTGGAACCAGTCTATTGTTCCATGTCTGGTTCTAACTGTTGCTTCTTGACCTGCATACAGCTTTCTCGGGAGTCAGGTAAGGTGGTCTGGTATTCCCATCTCTTTCAGAATTTTGTTGTTTGTTGTGATTCACATAGTCAAAGGCTTTAGTGTAGTCAGTGAAGCAGATGTTTTTCTGGAATTCTCTTGCTTTTTCTATGATCCAACAGATGTTGGCAATTTGATCTCTGGTTCCTCTGCCCTTTTCAAATCCAGCTTGAACATCTGGAAGTTCTAAGTTCACATACTGTTGAAGCCTTACTTGGAGAATTTTAAGCATTACTGTGCTAGCGTGTGAGATGAGGGCAGTTGTGCAATAGTTTGAACATTTTTTGGCACTGCCTTTGTTATTGGAATGAAAGCTGACCTTTTCCAGTCCTGTAGCCACTGCTGAGTTTTCCAAATTTGCTGGCATATTGAGTGCAGCATTTTAACAGCATCACCTTTTAGGATTTGAAATAGCTCAGCTGGAATTCCATTCCCTCCACTAGCTTTGTTCATATGAAAAGGCAAAAAGATATGATGTCCACAGAACATTAACTTTTATAAAGCCTTTCTGAAATGAAATGCTCCATACACTCTTAGTACCAAAACATTAAATGGTGTTTATTGGCTCCTGCCAATGTTTTCTGTTTTATAGTAGCATATAGTCTTCTGTCTCCATCATGGCATAGTGCAGAAATGAAATAAAACAAAAATAACATGTCTCATATAAACATTTGACGTTTTCTATAAATGGGCCAATATTAAAATGACTTTCTGGTAACACTCTTTTACATAGTGCAGGTGTTAGTTTTGTTCATTTAACAAGGATGTTATTACTAATATTCACTATGTTTTATTTTAGGATTTTCATAAAGCAAGACTCATAAATTGTTTCTACAAGTGAAAACCAAGTCAGTCATCTAAACTCTCAATTTCAAATCAAGAGGATTTAGCGTCTTCTGTTTTTATTAGAATGGAATTTATGGTGGTGTTTAAATGGGTTAGGCTGTGTGGGCACAAAATGACAGAAGTAGATTTAATTGCTTTCTCAAACATTTCTGTAGAATGCATAGGAAACCATCAGGTTTGTGAAAGTTTATTTTACATTCTTTCATGTTCATTGTGTTAAATTTGCAGTACAAGTCAGTGGCAAAACCTTTGCTGTTTGGCTTCTCTTACTAGATTGAAAAGTGGTTGTTATTTACCAATGGCCCAGGTTTAAGTAAAGTTGAGAATTACAGCAGTGAGCTGGCCTTCCCCCTTCATTAGTCTAGGTCACAGGCTATTAACTGTAACAATGTGTAGGATGTCTGTTTCCACATCTTAATCCTATGCTTCCCTCCTCTTCCTTACATTGTTACTTGGCTTTTCAAGGAGTTTATTCCTTAAAGCAGCCTTTAACAAGTCAAATTGTAGCTGCAGAAAGATTCTGCTTTGAAAGCACATAAGAAAGCATTTTTTAAACATTTTTGATTGAATAAACAATCCTGTCAACCCTGTCACTTGATAGAAGGCAGTTCAGTATGTGAAGACACTAAGGATACATCTTTAGTTTTTTTTTGCTTGTGTCAATTTTTTCACGTGATCATTTTTCCAGTTTCAAAAATGACTACGCAATAGTTGCCATTCTAGGAATTTAATGTTTTTAGCTGAAACAGTAACTTTTCCTTTAATGCTTAAGACAAGCCTTTCAAAAACAGCTAAATACTAATATTCAGAAATTAAAAATTGTATTGCAATCAAACTTTTCTTTGGACTTTCTTCAGGAACTAATACTGAGGATAATCATAATTTAAAGAAATGTTAAAGTATTTTCATCATTCATGTAAATAAACAGCAGAAAGAAAATCTTTTGGAGTAAAAATTGGTTTAACAAATTATTAAAAACAGAAAAGTGTGAATGTTCATATATTTTAATTTCACTTACCTTGCATGTTTCCTTCTATCCTGTTAGAACCATTGACTGTTACAAAAAGGCCATACGTTATGTCATACTGTATTAGAATATGCTAATACAGATGTCCTATAACAAAGACCTGGGAAAAACACAAGTGGCTTAGGCAAGACTGATTTTAATTTCTGTCTTGTAAAACAGTCTAAAGATAGGCAGTCCAGATCACTTTTGCACTTCAACAAAAAACTGCAGATACAGTTCTATGTGGTTCTCTTCCACAAAACAGCATTGACTCTGCTGTGGAGTCTAAGATGGCTCACTATGCCATCCACTTCTAAGCAACAGCATTGAATAAAGGAAAACAAAACAAAAATGGTCATACTGTTAAAGGAAATATTATCATTTCCCTCACATTTCACTGCCTTGAACAGTAATACTTGCAAGGGAGACTAGGAAATGTAGTCTTTATTCCGGTGTGCATGTGCCTAGCTAAAAACCAAAGGTGTTATCTGTGTGAACAGGAAAGAATGGCTATCAGGAGAAACTGGTATTCTCTGCATCTATTTTGATATATTTACAAATAACCAGAAATTTAAACTTGACAATCCTTTTACTGGAAATGTGCCAGGATTTGCTAGTTGACAAATACCATCATTCTGGGTTTTCCTCTTAGTTTCCTTCACTTACTCACTAAAAGTGGTGAAGGAGATGGTGAAGGACAGGGAAATTTGCCATGCTGCAGTCCATGGGGTTGCAAAGAGTTGAACTTCACAACTATCTGAGTTTCCAAGGTATGTTATATTGGTATAAAATCAAAGAAAGGAGATGTAGTTGCCTGATCTGCCAACTAGCTATATAGAAGTAGGTGAAAAAAGAATCTTCTGATGCAATTTTTTTTTTTTAATCTCGACACTGATGTTTATTTGCTGGTGATTATGCCCTGAGAGCCACAGTGAGTGACTAAGGTCAGCAGTTACTTTTCACGGACTCTAGCACACAAAGGCAACAGCTGATACCCAAGTGTGACTCTAGCCGCGATCCTTTGTCCATGTTGCAGTATCCTTACTGAGGGAAAAGGAAAATGTTTTCCCTCAGAATATGGATTAGTCTTGGCAATTCATTTGACTAAGCAACTTTATAGAGTACTAAAACAAAACAGTTCTTTAATACTTATCAAGTAAAAAGTCAGTAATAATTTTGTTACAGCTTCTGAAAAACATGGTGAACTGTAAAGCAGAGAAAAATTTATCAAGCCGTCTGTATAGTTTTCTCTTTTATTAAGGAAGAAAAAAATCTTCATGATTCTGCTGAAAGAACATCTCACACTGCAGAGGTAGTCATGGAATGTCTCAGCTCTCCTTCCACTGATGGATCCTTTCTAAGTCTTTCCATGCAGAAGACTATGTAAAGTCCTGTCACACAGCCTGGTTCAATAGTCATAATCGGTTCACTTGTGCCTGATGCCAAAGTTCTCAATTCTGGGTCCCCATTACGTTATATACAAAGTTGTCCTCCATCTAATACATTAAAAACTACCAAAAAAATCTTTAGAGTGTCAAAGCTACAAAACAGATACATATAAAGTTTTTGTCTGAAATATACACCTCCCAAGTTTCCATTTTCCAGAAAAGGCAGAACCTGCAAGTTATATATTGTGAAAGCCACTTTACAGGTGGCTTTATTTAGATGACCCAAGATGAATCAGTGCCATTATTGTTGTATAGCTGTGAAATAGATCATTATAGTTAAACTCATTACATTTCTTCAATATAAAGTTCCCAGTGACTATGCGATCACATCCAATTTCTCCATTTCCAAAGAAGCCAAATAAAGGAACACTAGGAAAAAACTTTCTAAATGCATCAGCCTCCACATTCTTCTTGGCTCTGTAATACTGAGAGCCCCTGCCGACACATGCAAACATGAAACCAATGGTGTTCTGCTCTGGAATGTTCGCTGCCTTGAGGCGCTGCATTGCAGCGTCCACAGTCTTCTCGTCATTGACATCCTCGTTGAGAAGCACTGTGGCACCCTGGACCTGGTGTCCGCTAAATGACAGTCCGACCACACCAGTGGCATCAATGTCCAGGGGGCTCCTAGGAAATGAAAGTAGAACAGTGGCGACGTGTCATGAAACACAATTCAGATTTCTAGTGTAAAAGAAAAGAAAACACCTCCCAATTCTCACTGGTTGAGAAGTGCTGCCTTAATTTACAGTTAGTCTGAGGTGCTCTCTCCCTGATCAGAGGTAAGGTAGAAAGGGTTAAAAATGAAACTACTGAAATTAATACAATAAAGAACGCAGAAGGCAGATCTATGGAGGAGAAAGCAATTATTTCTTCAGTCATAGATACAAAGGGGCAGATGCATCACCACAAAGATTTCTAAAATCCAGCCTGAGCTTTAGAAGAATACAGAGCATCCTTACCTTACCCTCTTCCTTAAAAAGGAATCTTACAACTTTATTCATATATACAATGCTGAAGCTTTTGGTATTATTTACATCTTCAGTACCTTTTTAATCCCTTACCTCCGCTTGTCAAATTTTAAAAGAGGTGTGTTAAATATTCAATCATGGAGGATAATTTCATTAGAACCCATAATTCCAGAGTTTTTATCTCTCTTCTATTTGGTCCATAAAGAAACAGGTTACACTGCTGTGTCTTATTTATTGCTTTGGGCCAATAATTTAGTTTAATCTGAAGGGAAAAATCATACATTTTCTTTTTGTTTCTACTTACCTGGCAGTTTTTAAAATGAAATATTTTATGGTTACTAAAGAAAATATAAACAGTGTTAATAAAGTTGTAAAGTGTAATATAGTGAACACCCACTGGGGTAAACCAAGTAAGTAGCTTTCTTTATCAGGCTTAGCAACATCTGAGTCTGCACAGGCAGGATTCACTGGGTTAGTAAGAAACTAAGACTTAAAAGGCTTAAGCACTAAGTCCCTTAAGGCTAACCAGTGGCAAAACAAGTTTCGAAGGGGCAGAATCCATCTTCTGAAGTCTGCTGCTGCTCCTTTAACTTTATTACATTTCCTCTTCGGTATACAATGGCAACAGGTGTCTCCTGCCTAAAAGAATGAGTCATCTTTTTTTAGAGGGAGAGGGGTTTATATCTGGACACCATTAAAATGAAGCACTGATACACTCAATGGCTTCCCTTACTCAATAACACAGTGTAAAGACCACATTAATGTGTCACGTAAAAGGTAATGACTGCTGGAGGGTGTATTTCCCCATATTAGGTATAAAGGGTAGATTATATACAGACAGCATGCTAAACTAACTGGCTAGCATCCCAGATGTTACATGTCTGAATAAGTTGGCATTTCAAAGATAAACTGTAAGTTAAATCACCATTGCCCTATCCGTATGTAATTTAAAAGTAAAAGACAATAAGGAAGATTAAGCAAGAGGGGAAATAACCCACAGACAGCTACCAAGAATCAGGTATACTTATGCAGGAAATCCAGTGCTTAAGAGTTCAGTGCACCTGGCTTTCCTCCCTTCTTCCTCAAGTTCCAGGGAACTCAACTTCGCATCTGCTTTCCCTGACCTGTCGGTGCTGACAACCAGAAGGGAGCTCATGACTGGGATGATTTAAATCGCTCTTACAGATACTGATCTCTAGCAGCCTGTCTCCATGCCACTGCTTTAGGGTCCAAATACTAAAAATGAATACGCAGAGAAACAGATAAGGAGGTTTGCAGCAAAGATTTGGGGTCAGAGGGAATGTTTCATTTTCTTCCTTTTGGAAACAGCTGGTATTTATGTCCACTCAATTAGCTGAAACTCAAAATACTACATACTTTCATTGGAAATGGGAAAAATAGTAATGGTTCAAGATAGAGGAGCAAATATTTTTATCTTTGAAAACAGACGCCTTAGTAATAAAATCAAAGATATATATCAATTTTGAACTTGAAAAAGCCTTTCAAAAGATCTAGTATAGGATTTCCCAAAATGTGTTCCAAGTAATATTGCTTGTACATGGAATCTGAAAAAATGGTACAAATGAACTGATTTACAGAACAGAAATAGCATAGATGTAGAAAACAAACAGGGTTATCAAGGGGGAAGCTGGGGAGTATAAACTGGGAGGCTGGGATCTGACATAGACACACTACTATATATAAAATAGATAAGTATATAGCACAGGGAACCCTGTTCAATACTCTAGTGGCCTAAATGGGAAAAGAATCATGAAAGAGTGGATATATGTATAACTGATTCACTTTGCTGCATACCTGAAACTAACACAACATTGTAAATCCAACTATACTCCAATAAAATTTTTTTTAAAAAATCTAATACAATATTTTTAAAAATGTGTGCTGAATAATACCGGTAGGCCTGCAACAGGTTTCATGTACAAAAGGTTCTGTGGCCAAATGTATTTAAGAACTGCCACAAGTAACAGTATTACCCCTCCCTCTAAAAGATCCAAAGTACTGAGCACAGTACTAGAGGCTCCAAGAAGTTTTACCGCAAAGCTATGCTACTGAACCCCACATTTCCTTTAGAGGAGAACAGAACCAGAGAGGAAGTGATATGCTGCAGTTACAGTGACGGAGCCATCAAGGGAACACAATAAACAATGGTGAAAGTCAATTTTAAGGAAAGTGTAAGTCCAACTAAGAATAAATTCTTAAAAGGATAACATATATAAATTTCGTTCTTCAAAGATAAGCAGAATTACGTTGTGTAAGCCCTTCAACCTATGTCTACTGCAAAATGGAATGAACTATTAGCAATCCTTTAAACATGATGTTTTAAAAACCCAAAGTAATGTAAAGCTGAGAACATAACCCATCACATGCAGAAGTCAAAAGCACATCAAACATACTTTTCAGAAGTCAGCGATGCCAGGTTGTCTATCTGGCCTCCAGCCAAGATGACATTCATATCACTGAAAGTGCTGACGACTCGCTGCAGATAATTACTGGCTCCTACCTTACAGCAGTTATAGCCAAATACAAGGACCACACGAAGCTCAGGGTTATCTAAAAGACCTGCAGAAAAACGAAGAGTGACAATTAAAAATGAGAGTCTTTGAAAGAAATTCTTAGAAAGGAATTGTGAATTATTTTTCAAAATGAAGTTATTGCTATCATGTCAATGTATGACAAAAACCACTACAATATTGTAATTAGCCTCCAACTAATAAAAATAAATGAAAAAAAAATGTTATTCCTAATGTCTTATATGCCTAATATGCAACTTAGTGCTTAAGCTGTCAAGTCTTCCATTTTTTTGGCAAGCTCTAACATTACTCAGAACCTTTGCTATAATTAATTTTTAACCATTAAGAAAATTAAATGGCTATTTGAAAATAACATAGTCAACATTCAACACAAATAAAGAAGTAGCTGTGTAACTGAGCAGCACCCTGTGGTGGGCCTGGGTACGAGCCGTCTCCACTCAGGCCGCCCGCTGGCATGGAAGTGGACGCTGGTGGACAGAACAGAGTTAGACGCAGGGGGATTTAAGTGTCCGGAGGGTGAGACGGCACGAACCACCTGTAGAGGATTGAGTGTGATCCCCCCACCACATTCCCAGGAACGAAGAATGGGACCTAACTTGGGAAAAGGGTCTTTGCAGATGTGATTAAGGATCTTGAGATGCGATCATCGGGATTGTCCAGGTAGGCCCTAAATACTACACAAGTATCCTTCCTAGAGAAACAGAGGCAGACAGAAGAGGCAATGTGACCTCAGAAGCAGAGACTGGAATGATGCAACCATAAGGAATGTCAGTGGCACCAGAAGGAGGAAGAGAAAAGAGATCCCCCCCACCCCCACCCCCGGAGCCACCAGAGGAAGCAGCTCCAACACCCTGACTCCAGCCTTCTGGCCTTCTGTACTGTGACAGAATAAATGGTGCTTTAAGCCACTGAAGTTTGTGGTAATTTGTTACAGCAGCCTTAGGAAACAAAACACCATTAAAATACAGGCCTTATCCACATATTCCAGGAGAGGGAAGGTGGATTAACCATGGGAAACTCATTTCAAACCAGGGAAATACTCAATTTTGGAGCACTTCTGGGATGAAAAGCAGCTACCACTAGAGGGCAGCATAGTCTGGGCAGAAGGCAGGCAGGACTCACACATCCCCCACAAGCTCCCAGGCTTTCATATGTGCCTCTGGCACCTTGTTCATAGACTATCAGTTTGAAATCTGACAAACTGGTGGCTCTGGGACAGGAAAAAAACAAAACGCCGGACCCACATTCGAGCATCCACTGTCTCAGCCACATGACTTCCATCTTCATAGACGTTAAAGGTAAAGGTTGCCTGAAGTAAAGCTCATTCAAGCAAACGGGTGGAGTGGAGGTGAATGACCAGTTCCTAACACGAAGTACTGACTTCTCTAGGGAGACTGCCTCTGGTCCACTTCTAATTCTCTCCACAGCACATAACTGATTTGGAGAGTAAGAAGGATATCAGTAAAAGCCAGTACTTTCAAAGACACCATATACCCCAAACCATTACTAAAGGGATCTTTTTCTTCACATAGACCAGGCCAGCAAATTTGCAGAAAATGTTCCTTTTTTTTCCCAGAATGACTATTTAAGAGTCAGAAGAGGCCTGTGGGGTCAACAGTGTAGTCTTATTTTACATATAAGGGCTGCTAATCTCAGGAGAGTGACTGGCCCAGGACATCTCAGCAGACTAGACCCTCATCTCTTGACTCTCAGTTTTAAGTTTTAGAAACCTAAAGACTTCTAATCTCTCCCCTTCCTAAGCTCTAGATTCTCTTACAGTTGCCGACTAGGCACCACCCTCATTCAGCCAATGCATACCCAGCGCTTTCAACATCTTCCTCCAGTGGTCTTGTTCTGTAGCCGACCACACAAACACACACTAATCTAGAAACCAGACTCACTTCCCTCCACCCAACTTAGAGAACAAGTCCACCGTAGCCCAGGCTGCCAAGGCAGACAGGTCTGCATCACGTACCGGAAGGAAGGTTCAAATGCCAAGCCACTCAACACTGAGAGGCCGAAGATACACGAGCCTGGGAAGATGACCACCCAGCTCACTTTGAGGTAAATCCCAGCACCGCCTTCAGTCCTGCCTCCTGGTGAAACAAGGGGATCCCCTACTCGGTACAAGTGTCTCAGGACTTTCAACTCCAAGAAAGCAGGCGAGCCGTCTTCCGACTTCTGACGTGTGCTGGGCAGACGACACGCGCCACCAGTGCTCTCAGCGCACTGTTCCTTGACACCCGGCGTGAGACGGAAGTCACAGCAGACCGAGTGCCTGAGGGGCACGTGGGCCAGCCACTCCTTCGGCAGCCCTAAACACGGTGACCGCACACACAGCTAGGGGCCAGACCTCGCTGGTGTGGATCCTACCACGGTTATTTTAAGGAATCACAGTGTTCATAGAGTGACATGGTATGAAACAGCTTGAAAAACTGCACCTACTTACCATAAGGGCATGTGGATCCACTAGAATTTATCACAGTTCTCAGAAGACCTGGTAGAGTTCTGCTTCTGTCCTGGCCCGGCAAACCAGCGCCCCACCTCTAGCAAACGCTGACAGTCTGCACCTCACGTACTACCCATGGCCCTGGCAGCACTATGCCCCTCCTACACGTGCGCCTCAACTCAGAATTCCTCCACCGATAGTCTACGTTATCTTTTTTGAAAGCTGCCTTAAATTCATTTTCAAATAAGGCAGAATATAAATTCATTACAGATATGATCAAGCTGGAAGGTTAAAAGGAAAAAACTAAAATCTGGACACCAACACCAGCATCACATTCAGGAAAGTCAACTATGAAGAACTGTTCCAAAGACTGGCTAGCACTGCCTGCAAAAAATAGGTCTGTGTGTTCAGATTTCTTTTTAAAGAAACCTCTCTCTGAAGACAGCTCTTTTATGAACTATTTGAAAGTGATATAATCTAAACATGTGTAGAATATCGACAATTACTTTAAATAGGTACACAACAAGCAACAAAGATTTATTGTATAGCACAAGGAACTATGCCCTGGTAGGTCAGCTGGTAAAGAATCCGCCTGCAATGCGGGAGACCTGGGTTTGATCCCTAGGTTGGGAAGATCCCCTGGAGAAGGGAACGGCTGCCCGTGGGAGGGACATGCTGGCATCATGTCAGTGTCAACCATGAATAAGCAACATCAGCTGCTGAACCTCCTTCCCCTCCTCTTCCAATTTGTGCCAGTCCCTTTTTCTTCAATCACCATTAAATTACCTGTTCCCAGATTTCCATCTGTGGTTGACACCATTCTCTTGAGCTTCAGATCCACATATTAACTGTCAAATCAATGTTCCCATCTCAGATTCAACGTGTCCAACCCAGAACTGGTAACTGGACTCTTCTGACCTGTGTCCCCAGCCCAGAACTGGCAGCCTGACTCTTCTAACCTCCGTCCCCGTCTATCCGGTCCCTCTGCATGCCTGCTGTGGCAGAAACCCGGGGGACAACACTGGCCCCATCCTCATTCTCAGCTCCCAACATTCTAATCCCTCACCTCAACCTCCTGATTCCACCTCGAAACTTCTCCGTGAATCCATCCATGTCTCCACAACTCCACTTGCCACAACCACAACAGCCCTGATCTCCCTGCATCCTCTCCCGTGTCCCTCCAAACTGATCACACCACAGCCAGAGGGGCAGTTTCAGAAGACGTAGCCGGTTGTGTCACTGTCTGCCTGGAGTCCTGGCTTACCGCGGCCCTTATGTCTGTAAAAGTCCTCAGGGTGTCCCTACAAGGCAGAGGCGGCCCCAGCCTGCCTCCTGGCTCACACCACACTCCCCTACCTTCGGTCTCACCATTCTCCAGACTCACTGGAATTCCTTCTACTTCATAAATGAGCCAGTGACTGCACAGCAGTCCTGAAGGTGAGCTGCCAGGCCCTTTCTATTTCCTGTCCTTTGATCTATTTTTGTCAATAACCTACAAAGAAGGCACAATACTTCTACGATCCACTTCCTGACTCCACATGTGAGGGACCCCTGCCCACTCCAGTTCACTCCTCCTCAGGGCTCTGCCCAAATGTCACTTTCCCAAGACCCCAGGGTGGATTAAGTCCCATGCTTATGTTTCCCAGCACTTCTGTGCGTCTGCTCGGTAACACTCACACATCGGTGTACTGCATTCAACGTCGGCCTGGCCTGCTGAACCGGAAGCTCCAGGAGGCATCTCCACAGCCCCGCACACGCAGGACTGGCACAGGATCTGCACACGGACAGTTGCCAATGAACCAACACTGGCTTTTATGGAACATGGGTATTTCTGCTTTCACTCTGAAAGAATCAAGTGCTGGCCCATCTACACGTGTATATCTATATATTTTTTTCATTCCAGCGACTATTTTTTAACATGGGGTGGATACCATACAGATCTTAGAACAACCTGTGCCTCTTTAGGGCTTCACTTGTGATTCAATCGGTAAGGAATCTGCCTGCAATGCAGGAAACTGGAGTTCGATCCTGGGTGGGGAAGACCCCCTGGAGAAGGAAATGGCAACCCACTCCAGTATTCTTGCCTGGGAAATACCATGGATCAAGGAGCCTGGCAGGTTATAGTCCATGGGGTCACGAGAGTCGGACACAACTTAGCAACCAAACCACCACCACCATGCTTCTTTTAAAAACATGCCATTTTGGTAAGTTCTTCAAAAAGAACCTAACCAGGGTGTGTGGCCGTGTGTGTGTGTGTGTGTGTGTGTATTATATACATGTATATTTATATATATAAATATACATCCCAGTACATATGGGATGCTGGGTACTAGGATGCTGGGTCTGATTATGACACCCTATATACAAGGTCTAGAAGAAATATCTCATGCGAGGTCCCTGCCCACAGAGACACTGCCCATCTCGCAGGAGGCTGAGGGGGCTTTGTTTATTCACCACAGGCTTTCCACACACCACTTTCTACTCAGAGCAGCCAAGTCAACAATGCAGGGGAAGACAGAACACAGCCCAGGCGCCAAATCTGGCCCCCTGCCTTTGCATATAAAGTTTTATTGGAACAAAGCTGATTTTTTGTGTACTGTCTACAGCTGCTTCTGTGCTCCAATGGCAGAGTTGAATAGATGCCTAGACTATATGACTGGCCAAGCCTGAAACAGTCACTATCTGGCCTTTAGAGAAGGTGTGCTGGGCCTGTGGGACACTTCCAGGAACGGGGTGCCTTCCACGGTCACAGAACATGACTGACGGAGCTGCTCCGGGTGTCTGGCTCAGGGGTGCAGGCTGGGACTCTGTGGAGAAGGGATGCCCACACCACAGCCTCCAACCCCTCCCTCCCTGCCCACCTCAAATGCCTCCATCTTCTTGTCCACATACAAGGCAACAGTCCAAACTGAGGTATAGAAAATAGTAATGGGAAAGAACAGAGATTATCATCTCAATCTAGGCAAAGCCTCAGTTTCCAGAAGGTCATGAACAGGATGAAAACAATGCCTTGGAATAAGTCAAAACTGTTGACAGCAAACAGTTCAGGGAAGGACACCAGTAAAACCACTTCACAGAGCAGAAGAACGCGGGACTCTTTCTCCTGTCTGTTTTCTGATTCCTATACTTAGAGCCACAATGCAAGCAAGGTCTAAAACAAATCAAATAACTATTTGATCATAAAACAGATGGTTACTCCCACTCAAGATTTTGAGTCTTTCTTATAAATGGACAAAACTAGGCTTCTAGCTTCAAGCAGTGCTACCAGGAAGACCTCAACCATGGATCCCCAGGCTGCTTTAAAACAGAAGAGAACATGCCCAGGAGGCACCATACTCACTTCTGGACAAAAAAAGAGACAGCACAGAAGAAGAAACCATATGACCTTCAGCAGAAGCACCAAGTCAAAGGCCAAACAAGTTCCTCGAACAAGTTCGCCCCGATCAGTTCACCTGCAGTGGTACGTAACGGCCTTAACACTGCTTTGCTTGAATAGTTAGTTTAATGCTTACTACATTAAATTAAGCTTTCTCATTAGAGCTTAGAAACTGAGCCAACCCTTTTTATCAACTCTCATGCATGACCTGTCCACATCAGCCAAGTTTCCTGCCTGGTATTTCCTAGTAATCCTTTGTCTGATAGACTTTGCTTTAACTTACACTATTTCTAAAACATCAAATTCATCACATTTCTTTCTAATTAGTTGATATTGAACTAACCTGTACCTTCTAGGTTTTTTTTAAACAAATGATTACTATCACAAAAAAGAAATAAAACCTTAAACTTTTCAACTTCAAAAACAAAATAGGACAAAATGATAAGAAAATAAGAGGAAGAAGTCCTTCAAAATTCAGAATTAAATACAAGTGAGTTTATTATCAATGGTGTATTTGTAGAAAATTCATCTCTGGTTCTCTCAGGTTTTAATGTAAGTAAAATAATTTAAAAAGTGGATCTATTCTATCAAAAATATTGCACCAGCCTCTGTTAATCACGAGTTTGAATTATCCATATCTGCAGTAACTTGTACTTGATTCTGACTCTCTCAGGAACAAACAAAATCAATCAACAACATGGGCAATTAGTGGTAAACGTAACAACTTACCTACTTCAGTGAGTTGATGCCTTTCTAATGTTAATTTCTTTGGATCCTTAATAAAATGAAAGGGCTTTATTTTTATTCCTTCAATTTGAGGAAATAATAGAGCAAAACCAGATTCTCCAATTTCTATTTCCTGAGGTCGATTGCTCCGTGATCCTATTGGTGTCACTAGGAAAAAAGTTAAACCATTTTGTGAACAAATACAACAAAGACAGAAGTTTCACCTCATGTAAGTTACCCAGCCACACCTAGGTAACAACAGCTTAGTCTACTAACATAATCAATAGATCATAGGCCACCACCCAAGTAAAACAAGTAAAAGTTTCTCAGCTTTCACATTTTTAGGAGTATAAGGTCATGATGCCTACAATTTACTTTCAATCTGTTTAGAAACAAATGTTTTCATAAACACAGGAAAAGCACATGTTTTTCACAGTGGTGATCTAGATGAAGGTATATGGGTATTTATTGTACTATTCTATTATTCTTCCACCTTTTCTATAGATTTGAAGTTTTGCTAAATAAAAAGTTGAGAGGTAGTAATTACAACTTCACAGTAATTCTACTTGAAAAAAATTTATCACCAATGGCTGTTTTAGAAATAGTCACTAATTGTAGCCTAAGAAAAAGGAATCCAATCAGCTGTCGTGGTGGAAGTGTTGTTGTGACATGTGTGGAACTGGCTCAAAGAAAGCACTCAGCTGCAGGGGAACAAGAATCAACAAGCAGTGTGAGGAGTGGGTCCAAGGAAACACAAGATGACAGGTCCCAAATAAGGGAGTTGGAATGATACTCCCTCCCAACATCAAGATCACCTGGGAACTTAGGGGGAAAGATGTGCAAGGCTCTGAGCATGAGAGGAAGGCTTCAGATAGACTGCTCACCCCTCACTATGGGGTCACGGAGGCAAAAGTGTCACACAGGAGTGCCTGCCCTCTCTTGTCCCTGACCCCCAACTCATATTTTAGAGTTTCTACTTGGTCATGCTTTGAGGAAGTCACAGAGGGCAGCGTGGAGAGGCCCAACAAAATTATATAAGAACTCAAAGTTGTTTCTATAGAAGCATTTGATAATTAATAATGGCTAACTAGATCACTCATTTAAGGAAAAATTAAGAGTTAAAAGAAAATCAGTCACTGCCATCATTTTTTCAATCCAATGAGAAACAAACTTTGTGATGAAGGGGCTGATGTAATAATATAGGAGTAGGAGCTAATTGCAGGAGAGATGAAACAGTCCCCATCAACCATATATTTACCCTTACTTGCCTGTAAACACTTGAAATCTTTTGTACTTCCTTGCACAGGACTTCCTATACAATCAAAAGTCTTTCAGTGAAGATTAAAAATGCCAGTTATGGAGTACTACTGAGTGCAACAAAGTAAAGGATCAGAGCTAATGTTTACTCACTGCTTACTGTGTATCTATTCTAAACACTGCACGTGTGCAATTCACTGGCTCCTCAAACTCTCTGTGAAAGGTACTGTCCATCACCCCCATGTCAGTCAGGGGGAAAATGAAGCTCCATGAGGTCAGCGAACTCGCTCAAAGTCATGCAGACACTAGAGCGGTACACTAGACTGGGCTTTCCACCCAGGGATCGGAACCACTGCACCATGATGGCCTCAACAGGCTCTCACTCCCCCACTAGCTAGAGAGCAGAGTCAAAAATAATTACAGCAGCAAAAATTCACCAGGAGCAAACCTAGAAAGAAAACTTCATGCTATAAGCTTCAAATAGTGGCAGCCAAGGAGAGAAAGAGAAGTATCTGAGGAAGGTCGAAGGCAGCTCCTGTTCCAGGCCAACCTCACCTCCACCCACCGGAATCAGTTCTGGCTGAAGTGCCAGAAGTGAGAATTTTCACTAATAGTTTCTAATTTGTAGAGAGGAGGAATGAGGTCTTTGTCTTCCTCTGAATGGCTACTGGAAAGATATGAATTATTAATACATGTGGCTTATATGGACAACCCTGAGATTTGAAATATTAACCACAATAACCTAAGGAACATGAATGTAAGTCAAATATAACTTGAAGGTATATAAGACCAACTTTACTGTACTTTGCCAAAAACATAAATCTGCTTTAAGCTACAAATAACCCACCGATTCATAGGACCCCATATGAATGAAAGGCAGGAAATCAAGTTGGTATTCTCTCACCTACAATTCCTGGGGTCACAATCCCAAGGACTTGGCATTGTTTTGGGAAGAGCTTCTCAAGGGCAAATGCTGCTTCCATAGTAGTTCTTTTCCTGGCTGCAGTAATATAGAAGAAGATTATCCAGGTCATCCATTTAAGGTCAAATTTGATGAGGAAAATAAAAGCAAACATTAAATAAAGTTTAAGTCACTTTACACTAGAACACATTACAAGGACATCTAAAAGCTTTGATTGAAAACAAAAGTAGTATTTTGTTGTTGTTATAAGTCCCTGTTTTACATGTTAAATTCTAAATTTGACCTTCAGCGTTGCCAGTTTGTCGCTTTTCCACTTGTTCACACACTGCTTTTGCCTCAATGACATCAGCAGTAGGAGCTGAATTTCAGATTTATTCTTTTTTATTTTATTCTTTCTGTTAAGCTGATACGAAATCATGACTTTTCTATAGCACAGTCATCTGGAATCAAGTCACACAATGATAATCCACTAAGTCTTAACTCTGGGGGCCAGTGTGCCCATCATGGGACATGGTCTGCTTCTTCACTTAGCAAGCCAAGAAGAATGCACGGTACTGACAGAGAACTTTGGTAAACAGTCATCCAACACAATAAAAGGCTTGAATAGCCAAAGACAAACATTCTGTTTTAATAGTAAAAAACAAATGCCTGCACATGCAAGTATTTCAAAATGAGAAAACACCCTTCCAAAGAACTTGTGTCAATTGTACCACAAGGTTTACAATCTCTGGATAGAATCTCTGAATCTTTAGATTGCAAGGTTCGCAATCTCTGAAGCAAATGGTTCCTCAAAAGTTCAAAGACACTATATTCAGGCATTCTTGAGGGAGCAGGCCCACAGCCTCAGAAAGTCACTAACTCTCAGGATGAAAACAGCACTTATCTCCAAACAGAGGTAACTAAGGAAACAAAAGAATCCAAAACTTTTTCTTTTGATACCTCTCTTATGGCCACGACACTCCTCCAGATTAATGAAATTTTCTGAATCAGCCATGTAAAGAACTGTCTGTGGTAATATATGGACATTCTGCAAAGAAAAAAGAAAAAAAAAAAAAAACAGAATTTGATCACACAAACCTATAAATGCTTTTGTGGAGCTTTAAAGTTCTGCCCTGACCCGAACTGCTGTGGCCCTACCTTTCTTCAGGTGTTCTGAGTCCATTTACTCATTCATTTTTCACTTATGCTCTTTCATTTTCAGTTCATTCATTTGTTGAACATATATTATTTCTTCAGGTCACATTCATTCCAGCCTGACTGAAGAAGTTCATTTTCACAATAATTTAAGCTCTTAGACAAAAACATTACATACCAGCAAAAGATTCCACTGGCTTTATGTGAACAGGTATCACAGCAACAGAAACATCTCAGCAACAGAGGAAAGGTATATAGACTTGTATTACTCCTCTTTTTTTGCCAAATTAAACAATCCAGGCCTTCATTTCCGGCTTGCTAACTAGTTTCCTACAGGAATCTATCACTCACCATTATCTGGACAAGCTCACTTCTGTATTTATTCTTCTGCAGCTTTCTTCCTTTTGCTGAAGATTGTTTCTCCTAAGAAAGAGTTAAGTGCCGCACTCTTCATAAAACCTTTTCCTAGACTTCCTAAGGACCTCTGACCTCATATATGACACCCCTGACATCCCAGTCATTCTTACTTGTGCCTTACCTCTTAACAAGGGACAGCTGTAAGCCCTTAACCTTGGCTTATTCAGACACAGGTTTTCCACCAAAATACATATAACAGACAAGTGGCAAAGCAGCTCAATTAAATGAAAAAGGTGTATATAGTTTTCCTCCTAAGCTGATTACTTTCAAAGATTTTTACTATCAAAATGGAAGGAAGAAGATAGCATTCAGCAAAGCCTCAATAGGAGTTAAATGAAAAAGAAATGGTAATCTGGGAAAGTTAAGTTGTTTTGGAGTAGATTCCATATAGACAAACTCATGAAAGATACTGAGACAATGATGACCCTGTAGTGGCCTCAGGGCTGGATAATAAACTATGGATATAGTTTCCATGGTCCACAAGGCATCTTCAAGGAATATAGTTTAGGGAGGAGGGGGCAAGATAACAGTAATAAGACCTTCAGCCCACATCCTACTGCAAACACTCCAAATTTACAATTATTTACAGAGAAACTGCTGATGGGAACAACCTTAAGACTAATGGAAAAAAATTTCCACCACTGAAGACATACAGCAGGAATCACCATGAGAAGGCAGAAGGGGGAAAGTGGAGATACAGTATAGCGTAGACCACACCCTGAACAGGCAACCTAGAAATGTGAGGCTAATCACAACTGCAGAGGCTGTCCCCAAGGAGTAAGGGATCTGAGCCCCACATTGGACCCCCAGCCCATCGGTCCTACAACCAGGAAGATGAGGCACCAGAACATCTGGCTTTGAAGGCCAGGAGGGCTTGTGTACAGAAGAGCCAGAGGGCTGGAGGAAACAGAGACTCTATTCACAAAGGGTGCACACAAAATCCCATATGCTCTGAGTCCAAACTCAGAGGCAGTAATTTGAAAGGAGCCTTGGTCAGATCTTGGAGAGCCTTCTGGAAAAGCAAGAGGCAACTGGGACCCCCCCTCTAGGGACAGAGATGCCAGCAGCAGCCATTCTGGGGAGCTTGTTCTACCAGGAGGACCCTGATGCCGCTAGCACCTCTGTGGAGTCCTTCCTCTGGCCTATTAGTGCCATGTGCTTACGTACCTACCAGTCCTGGTCCTCCCTCGGCCACAAAGCCAACTTCACTGGACCCCAACCCCACCTGCCAGCAGCTGGCAGCCTCCACATGAGCTCCTGGCAGCCAGCGGGGCTTGGGGGCCAGCCCTGCCTACCAGGACACCCACAGCAGTCAGCTCTGCCACAAGAGACAAGCTCTCGCAACCCACATTAGGGGTACTCCTACAGGACACGGCTCTGGTGATCAGAGAGAACTGTGCTCCTGGGCCCCCTAGGACATCTCCTGCTTCTCCAAGATCAGGAAGCGTAACTGACCTACCTGATATAAAGAAATAAAAACAGAAAATCAGGAAAAATGACAGAGGAGTATATTCCAGACGAAGGAACAAAACAAAATCCCAGAGGGAGAACTAAGTGAAATGAGATAAGCAATCTACCTAATGGAGTTCGAGGTAATGATCATAAAGATGCTCAATGAACTCAGGAAAAGAATGAACACAGTGAGAAGCTTAACAGTGAGTTATAAAGAACCAGATCTGAGAAATACAGCAGCTGAAATAAATTCAGCTACACTAGAAGGAATCAACAGTTGATTAGACAATACAGAGAAATGGATGAGTGAAGTAAGAGAGTAGTAGAAACAACTCAAGCTGAAAAGAAAAAGAAAAAAAATCTTAAATGACAGTAGTTTAAAAAATCTCTGGGATAACATCAAGAGTACTAAGATTCATATTATAGATTGGAGAGAGAAGGTGACAAGAGAAGTTACTAGAAGAATAACAGCTAAAAACTTCCTTAACCTGGGAAAGGAATATCCAGATCCAGAAAGCACAGATCCCAAACAAGAAGAACCCAAAGAAGTCCATACCAAGGCACACTATCATTCAAATGGCAAAACTGAAAGATAAAGCAAGACTCTTAAAAGTAGCAAGAGAAAAACAACTAGTTATGTACAAGGGAACTCCCATAACACGGTCAGTTGACTTTTCAGCAAAAATTTTGCAGGGCAGAAGGAAGCAGCAAAGTATGTTCAATGTGATGAAAGGAAAAAACCCACAATCAGGAATAGTCTATTCGGCAAGGCTATCATTCAGATCTGAAAGAGCAATAAAGAGTTTCACAGACAAGCAAAACCTGAGTTTAGCACCTCTAAGTAGACTTTACAAGAAATATTTAAGAAACTTCTCTAAACAGAAAAGAAAAACACCTCACCTGGAAATATAAAAATCTAGGAGGAAGGTTAAAAGACAAAAGTATAGTAAAATCATCAGTATCCAGAAAAAGTTGTTAAGGCATACAGAAACCAAAAAAAGGGAAAATATGATGTCAAAAACAATAAAGGGTGGGGGTGGATGCAGGTTTGTTTGAATGTGTTCCAACTTAAGAATCGCCACCTTAAAATAATCACACACACAGAGAACAAAGGAATCCAAACTTAACACTAAAGATAGTCATGAAATCACAAGGGAAGCAAGCAAAAGAAGAAAAAAAGAATTACAAAAACAATCAGAAAACAGTAAACAGGAACAAGTACATACTTAATCTATTATTACTTTCAATGTAAATGAACTAAATGCTCCAATCAAAAGACACAGACTGGTCGAATGGGTAAAAAAATTAAGACCCATATATATGCTGTCTACAAGAAACTCACTTCAGATCTAAAGACACACACAGAAAGTAAGGGGATGGAAAAAAAAAAGTGTTCCATGGAAATGGATATGAAAAGCAAGATAGGTGGCACTACTTTGATAAAGATTTTCACCCAACAAGATATGACAGTTGTAAATATATATGCACCCAAAAAGAGAACACCTAAATACATAAAGAAAACAGAAACAAAGGGAGAAAGTGCCAGTAACACAGTAATAGTGGGGAACTTTAACACCCCACTTATATCAATTAACAGATTATCCAGAGAGAAAATCAACAGCAAACACTGGCCTTGAACAATACATTAGGACACACAGACTCAATAGATATAACATATAGAATATTCCATCCAAAAGCAGCAGAATACACATTATTTTCAAGGGTACATGGAACTTTCTCAAGGATGGATAAAATGCTAGGCCACAGAACAAGTCTCAATAAATTTAAGAAGTCAGAAATCATATCAAGAATCTTTTCTGACCACAACACTATGAGACTAGAAATTAACCGCAAAAAAACAAAGCACTGGTAGGCCAAACCATATGCAACGAAGTAACCAATGGGCAAGGAAGAAATAAAAAACCTGGTGACAAAAGAAAATGTAAACACAACCCAAAACCTGTGGAATGCAGCAAAAACGGTTCTAAGAGATAAGTGTATAGCAATGCAAGCCTACCTCAGAATACAAGAAAAATCACAATTTAAAAACCTAATCTGACTCCTAAATGAACCAGAAAAAGAACACAAAAAACCAAAAGTTAGTAGAAGAAATCATTAAGCTCAGAGCAGAAATAAATGAAATAAAGACAGTAAAACAATAAAAAACGGTCAAAGAAACTAAGAGCTGGTTCTGTGAAAACATAAAACTTACAAAACCTTCAGCCAGACTCATGGAGCAAAAAAGCCCAAATCAATAAAACAAAATTAACAAGGAGATATTACAACTGATACCAGAGAGATACAAAAGATTCAAAGAGATTACCATGAACAATTATACGCCAACAAGATAAACACCTAGAAGAAAGGGATAAACTTCTAACAACATATAATCTCCCAAGAGTGAATCAGAAAGAAACAGAAAATATGAACAAACCAATTACTGACAATGAAACTGAACCAGTAATTTTAAAACTCCCAACAGACAAAAGTTCAGGACCATAAAGCTTCACGGGTGAATTCTATACCAATCATTTAGAGTTAACACATATCCTACACAAATTATTCCCTAAAAATGAAGAGGAAGAACTGCTTCCAAACTCATTCTTATGACATGTACTCTGTACCAAAACCAGATAAAGATACCACAAAAAAGGAAAATTACAAGCCAATATCTCTGATGAACAAAGATTCAAAACTCCTTTTAAAAAAATCAGCACATCAAATTCAATAATACTTTAAAAGAGTCATGCATATGATCAAGTGGAATTTATCCCAGGGATGCAAGGATAGTTCAATATATGCAAATCAGTCCATGTAATACACCGCATTAACAAAATGAAGAATAAATACCTGATCATCTCAATAAATGAGGAAAAAGTTTTGACAATATTCAGTATCTATTTAAGAAAATAACTGCACAAACTGGAGATAGAGAGAAAACACATCTACATAATAAAGACCATATAGGACAGAAATCACAGCTAAAATCATACTCAATAGTGCAAAGCTGAAAGAAAACATTTC